TAATATAGGAAAAAATATAGGCTTCAAAAAAGTTGAACGGAACCATCCCTCTACACATTCATGTTACACATTCATGTTACACATTCATGTGATCGTACTGGTATAAATCAACTTAGCTATAAAAATTCAAAGCTTGAAATTTTATTTTTTTTTATACATAATGTAAACAAAAGCAAAAAAATTATTGAATTAAAAAAAAAAATAGTAGATGTCTCAAAACAATTAAGTTTTGACCTCTAAGGAAAAAGCACAGAATGAATTCTGCATGCATGTATAAAAATTTTTTAAATTTTATTGATATTATTTGAAACATTGCGCCGTTTAATATTCCAACGCGTTTTACCATTTTCGTCACCTTTCATCAGTTTCGCCATTTTTATTTATTTATTTTTTTTTGGTGAAAGTTAAACTGTGTTTCGCCTTTCGCCAATGGCGAAACTCTAGGTTACGCCTAACAACCCTACATTGAGCCTAAAAGTTACTCACCATAATATAAAGTTAAAAATCTATTAAATGAGCCTTAATAACATATAACTTTGTTTATGATCAATGTTAGATCAGCTCAGGATTATATTAAAGCTCTTTTATATAATATTTGGCATCAATTGTATTTATGACTTTTTCTCAATATTCAAAGGTGAATTTTTGTAAAAGATGTAGTGCTCATAATTTTACTGCTATAAGAGACTTCAAATTAAAAAGTAATTCCAAATTGCTTGCACATAGCAACAGAATTATGTTGATCTTTCTTGGCGGCCATTCTTAAATACTTGGTTCCAATTTCCTGATTTTTTTCTACTCCTTTTCCCATCCAGTAAGCACTTCCGACATTATACATAGCCGTAGCGTTTCCATTATCAGCAGCTAATTTTATATATTTCATAGCCTCGTTCAAATCGACCGGAATACCATAGCCTTGCCATAAACAGAACCCGTATCGGAGTTGTGCCTCGACTTTACCACAATCAGCTGTTTCTTTAAACAAGTTTACCGCACGCTGAAGATTTTCTTGACGATTGTCTTTATGCTCAGGAAGGATGCAATGATATAGATAGTAAGCAACCCAGTATTTCGCAGTTATACCACCTTGTTCAGCGAATTGGTTGAAGCATTCCCATGCTTTTTGCCTATCTCCGTCCGGTTTTTGGTGTTCTTCAACTGCTGCATCTACAGTCATGAAACTATCATCACTATCATCAATTATAAAATCATCTTCAAATTCATTCATAGGTGAAGTCTTTTTTTCATCTTTATGATGATAGTCATAAAGGGTTGTAAGTATTTTAGAAACTCGTGGACGAAAATTTGGATCATGATGCATTGCTTGAAAAATATATATAAATTAGTATGCATAAATACAAAAATACTAAAATATTAATTTATAATAATACCTGTATATGCATTGTCCTGCCAAACTTTGGGTGCATCTGAAGAAAATGGTTCACGATATTTCTCTTTGACAACACGGTCTTGAATAGTCTGTAAATCTATTCCTTGTCTAATATAAGGTATCTCTTCTTCAGCAATTTCCCATAGAAGGGCTCCTAAACTAAATATTGATTGGATATTTAATAAAATTAAAATCATCTAATTATGTAAATTTGATAATATTTTTTATCATATGGGCTGTGTGCTGAGAAAAGGGACCAAATTGAATTTTTTTTTGAAAAAAAGTTCTAAGTAAAATAGATGTAGATTTGATTATCTGATTCAGAACATTTATTATTTTCAAAAAATTTTTTTTGTTAATTTGGTTCCTTTTCTCAGCACACAGCCCATATATACCCATATATTTCACATTTAACTGTATATCGTTGTTTATCACCATGTTCTAGCTTCTCGGGTGCTATATATCCTATGTTCTCAAGACTAATTTGGATATCTCTAGTAATATCTCTTAAACCAAAATTAGCAATTTTAGCCTTGTGATTGCTATTAATTAATACGCTTGCACCTCTTATATCATGGTGCAGAATCTTTTTTTAGCATAAATAATATATAAATAAGAAATAAAATTACTATTTATTTTACTATTTAATGTAGTATTATCTGTTAAATTGAATGAATATTCACGTACCTCTATAGAATTCAAGAAAGCAATTCCTCGGCAAATATCAATGGCAAATTCAAATTTTTTATTCCAATCCAATGTATGCTTTCCATAATATTCCTGCAAATTACCATTTTCCATCCACTCTGTCACTAAATAATATTCTAATCCATCATTAGATTTTGCTATTCCATAAACCTAATAATGTGATCAAAAATTTTTAACTCTTTTAGAATAGCTATTTGTTGACAAATTTCCTTTTCAGTTTGTTCATCATCAATCCCATGAATTTCTTTAAACGCATATTCTAAAAGTGTCGCATTATTCCATCTACAATGAATTTTTTTGCCACAGGATTCAGACTCATGTTTAGGTTCGTAATCGTCTAACTTTAAGAAGGTTTCAAATATTTCAATGTCTTTACGTTTTTGATATCGGAACGCTTAATTCTCTAATCCTTTTAATATCTGTAAAGGTATTTTCGTCCGATCCTGTTTTACCGTCGGACATAGCAAACATGAACTATAATAAATGAAGTTGATGTGGCTATTTTACAATCACTATGCAAAAACATGGAACAGATAATTTATAATTTTATCCCAAAATTTATGTGTAATATACCTTTTTCATTTCTACCAAATCTGCCCTAATAACTTTGATCTCATACGCTTTTTTAAAATCTGAATTTTTCACAAGAGTTTTGTTCATCGCTTGATATAAAGACTCTATGTATCCATCAAACGTATTTGACAAATCGCTATACTTTTTTACAATATTGCCAGCATGAAGGAATTTACCAAATGAAACCAGTTGAGAAACATCTGTAATGAATCTTCAAATATCAAGCATAAATTTTAGAAAATCCTTTATAAGCTGAAGATTAGTTTGTTCAAAAAATTCTAAATAGGCTTGTTTTCAAATTTCTAAATCATTTATAGCTGCTGCAGCATACTTTAGCCGCTCTGTTAAATATCTACCTAAACGTTTATTATGTTCTGCCTTTTGGTCTAACGTTACAATATCTTGCCCTAAGTTTAAAAATATATCTATTAATGGAGCGAAAGGTACATAACTTGTTGGTGCTTCTACAACATCAGTCGATACTTTAGCTGCTATTTCTAATGGCTTAATGCCGATTTGATTTCCTTCATTTTTCATTGGAACTGCCATCGTCTTTGACATCTCTAATAAAATGTTGAGATTCTAACGTCAGTAAGCACTATTTTAATTCTTGTCGACTTAAAGAATATTTATATGTCACAAAATTGCTAACTGCTTGAGCATTTTAAGAATTATAATGAACGCTGTTTTATAAATCGTCTTTTGCGTTTTAAAAAAAGAGAATCCCTTGCTAAATTTTGATATAAACTATGCCCTTCCAACTGTAGCCTAACTTTAACCCTAACCTTAACTGCAAGTTTTATTCTTATAAGTACAGAAGTAGAAAAAGTTGGTTTGATTATTTTCGTTATGGTCATAACCCATTGAAGTTAAGCAATTGCTAATTTTAACTGGTGTAAAATTATTGGTTCGAGTAACAGTAACATTATATAGCATTACCGTTACTCCGCAAAATCAAATTAAAAATTTGAATTTGAACTAAATACAGTCATCCTCCTCTACAGTCACCTTCCATATAATCACACCCTCCTTATAAGCACCATTTTTTGAAAAGTTGTTGGCAATATATTCGGTGAAAATCTTTATATAATCACATCTTTTTTTTTGTAAAATAAACGGGTGATTATAGAAGACGACTGTATTTGATTCAAAATCAAATTTTGATTTGATTTTGCAGAGTACTAGCTATAGCCTTGTATATTAGATTCGAAATTTAAAGAGCAACCAATAAGTTAGAACAGCAGAGACAGTGCCTGATCCATAATGATACCCTCTCGCCTGTGATCAATCACAAATTAAATTATTTATGCTGGATTCTATTGTGATGGATATAATCCCTCACCAGTTTAATGTGTAACATTAATTTATGTTCATTAATATATGAATAATATGACACATTTTCATGAGACGTATAATTCATAAAGTCATAAAACAAATAATCTCAGCATTTAAGCTAATATAAGTATTGATTCCTTCTTGGATAAATACAAGTGACTAGTTATAGTAAACTCTCGAGATTAGTATAATTTATGCAAATCCCTTTCGATATGGTGAATTTACTCAAAAGTTACTAATACGCAGGCATTTGATATATTGAAGACAACTTCACAGCTCGGTAACTTTACTATAACAAGTTATTTGTACTTAATTAATCGAACTTATGACTATTGACGCGAATAGATTTGTTCCATATAATTATCTGTTTGAGAAAAATAAAGTAGCATATTTCCAAGCTCATATATTTGGTTTAGGATACAATTTTATTTTTTGATGGTTTAAATCATATTCTCATTAATATGCTTCTGTTTGTGTCGACTATACTAATCCTTAAGCTAATCTTTTCCCTCCACTTCATTTCTCATGATTTTTTGTTCAAATATATAAATTCTTTTTGCATTTCAGAAGATTTTGATGTAATAAAGTATTAGTAGATTACTTATGCAAATTAGTAATTTTGTTGCTTTAATTTTATTTCACTACAAATAACCGGTGGTGATAATCACCGCCTCTATTTTTAACGTCAGGGTGAAGTTTTATGGTAAAACAGAGGCATATATAAAGGTTCAAATTTTAGTTAGAGGCAGATTTTTGAGGGAATATTTGACCCCAGTTTCTTAGTCCATTTTTGAGATCGTCACCGGTCATGTTAGTAAAATTCCTTTTATTAATTATTTTTTACCAGGAACGTAGTGAAACGAAGTGTATGGTTTACAGGCAATTATCTGTGTGCAAATTCTTAATTCCTATTGGACA